ACTGGTTTTAGAACTTCAGACATATCCAAACATTTTCCGCACAAGGACTGTTGATGAATGATACAATGTAAGACTAATGGTTTTGAACCACCATCATTTTCTACAGCCTTTGACACAAGTGCAACCACTCCTTTATTTTTACCATACATATTTTTGCCTCCATCAGTTGTTATAGATTTCAAATTTCTCCATCGAAGGTTCTTTTTATTAATGGCATTTTCAACTCCCTTAAAAATATCTGCCCCAGTTGTCGTGCCGTGAAAACTATCAATACCAAGAAGTTCTTCATACACTTCATAGCTTTTATCTACTCCGCGAATAAAAATCAACACCTGAGCAGTATCTGTCACATCCGTTGACTCATTCAATGCTAGAGAAAACCACTGATGATGTCCATTTTTGTCAGACAGTTGAGATGATATATTTTCTGCGATGTCTTGCACCCTCCGAGCCACGGTGTTTGCTGACAAACTAAACAAAGATTGCTACGATTTGAGTCCGCGTTTCAAAGCTTCAAATTTTTCCTTTCGCAAACTTCCTGTATACTTGGAGTAACTTTGAAGATGTTTCGATTCATAGTGTCATTTAATGTTATTGTCTTTGAAAACAGCTATGGTTTTATTACAAATTAAACATAGCGCCTTATTACTGGACTCAATCACAAAATACTAAAAGTTCCATTTTTCTTGGAATGTTCTGCATTCACTGTCGATTTTTCCCTTCTTTTCCATACTAACAAATCACACATAAAAACAATAAGTCAAATCAAAATACTTTTATTGACGGGTGTTACTTTATNCTTCCAGGGTTTGAAAGTCAGACACGGCACCCAAGAGCGAGTATTCCGACTAGAATTTGTATCGAACCAGGAATTCTCTGACCCAGAATACCACAAGTGGATCGAAGCGAGCGCCGCGGCGGGTAACGACCTGCCCGCCAAGTCGAAGATCGACCAGAAGCAGGCCGACATCAAGGAGGCGATCAGCTACGAATTCAATGAGCAGGACGTCGAACGGATCATCCAGGAAAAGCAGCGGTTCAAATCGAACCCTTTCAACTATGCCATGAGGAAGACGCAGCTGATGAAGGAGAGGGACTCGGCGATGAGCAGGGGGGATGAAGAGGCTGCCAGGGAGCTCGGGCAAAAGTTGACGGATCTCGAAGAGAGAGCTACGGAATTGGACAAGTTGCGAACGTCGACGATATCTAGTATATCGTACATAAATAATCGCAATAGGAAGAAGAATGTTGAGGAGGCGGAGAAGGCAATTATGGCCGAGGTTCGGGCGAACAAAGGAAAGAAGGTGAGTTTTCCGAGTTTAGACGTAAAACAGATGATATTTATCCAACGGCGGCTCCTCAAAAGAGGCAAGGGAGGCTTAGCCTCCCCATAAAATTTGAGGCTATTCATCGCAATAAAATAAAAGACATTGACAAATAATTATGACTATTTTTTTCTAAAAATGCTTGGGTATCATTACTTTACCATTAATTTTCAATATAAATACATACCAACAGCATATGCAGGAATTACTTCAGTGAAGATTCCTGCACTGACGCCTGTCGGATATAATCCAACATTCTTCGTGGTATTAGCCAGAGGAGCAGTTGTTTTCTGATAAGTGTCAGTCCATCAAAAGTCTAATTAAGAATTCCCATCCTCTGAGAAGACTGAGGTCACCACTGATCATCATCATGGATTTTTTCCATTTCCAGATCGAGGATCCATTCACCAGAAGATCAACAAAACCTCGAATGAATTTCAAAGCAGGTGAGAAAGAGGCTCGCGCTGCGGCCCTGTCGAAAGCTCCTGCCGAACTCAAGAAACCGGAAGCTTCACAGCAACCCGATACTGCAAAGAAACCAACTCAAGGGGCGACGCAAGTCTCTCAAGACGATCTGTTTTCAGCTCACGATTTCGATATCAAAATCGACCTTGAGGTCCCCTTATCAGGTATGTTGGGTTTTTTGAGTCTATTTTTGAAATGATTTTTCAGTTTTCATCAACCATTTTGTACTGTTACATTCATTTTCACTGTTTATTTTTGTTGTTGGGATGAATGGACGAAAATACTCCATGAAGTTGAAGCTTTTCTTTCCCACGTTGAATATTTCACTCTCATATCTTTTACGAGAACTTTGAATTTATCGTTTTAATCGTTTTACTACTCTACTTCGTCCTAGTATATGTTATTTGACTGTTCTTATACTATGTTGATGGGCTTGTTTCATGATTTTTTGGTTTATAGTTCACTTGATAGAAATTTTAAATTGTAAAACAGTAGTTTTACGTAGTTTTACGTAAAACATAGTTTTCCCGTAATCAATTATTAAAAATCGAATGTGGTAGGCTGATGACGTCACGCCCCTATTCCCGCTTCTTGTTCGATTGACCAATAGGAACAATAGAAATAATCAACATTGCCAAATCGTAAAATTTACGGAGGCTTTAATCATGTATTTAATTATGGAAGTGTAAATGAACCCGTAACGTTTCAATTAATGAAAAATTTTCCACATGGAATAAAATGTACACGAAAAATAATGTTTGGAAATAAGTTCTGAATGTAAAATCAGTACACAATGTCGATAGATCACAAAATATTTACCTAAACTATGATTTTATACATCATTTAATAGATAGATATATAGATAGATCTTTATTCAAATAGGATATCCTAATAATATACAAATCAACTAGAATGGTAGAAATAAAAAAAAAGGTATGTGTTGCATATAGAAATGACTTAAATGTATGACAAACATAAGTTCCATAAAATATTTGTAAAGACATTACTACAAAAACAGCAACATTATACATTCGAAAAATTCCAATGCAACATGTAGAAAGATAAATTACATAATTATTTGAAATATATAAGGAACATTAGATGAATGGAATTATACAAATTACAGCTACAGGTAAGTAAAGTGTTGATTGGCCTGAATTCTTTACATTTAATAGTATGAGGAATTTTGGGTATAGGAACAATAGTACTACTTTTCAATCTATCTGGTATTTCGCCAGTTTCAAGAGAGGTGTTGATAAGGTGCAATATAACGTGACCGATAGTCTCAAAAACTTGTTTCAATATTTTGAAGTTGAGGATTTCACGTATACTGCACTTATTATCCAAGGAAATTATAATTTTACGTACGTCATTTAACGAAAGCAATCTGAATTCTGAGAAAGTTTTGTAAGTTTGCGGTGACCAAATCGTAAATTATCTTCTTCTGTTTCGCCTGCCATTGTATTAGTTTTTTTTTTTAATTTGTTCAAGTTGTTGATTTTTTATTAATGTTTTCAGCCACTCCAGTAAACATCGTCCCAAAATCAGTAACGAAGGACTTGGCCCCCAAACGAAGTTTGAATCTGCAAGACTACAAGAAGAAACGCGGTCTCATATAGTATTTCCCTCGACAGACATTTAGGAAAAATACATACAATTCTTCAAATTTGAAAGTGACTCAAGAAGGCATTCGAGTATTACTTTGTAATTTTATTTATTGTTAAATAATTTCTCTAGGCCTTAACGCGGTACCCCAGTCCCATAGAAGACAGACGTTGTATATATGTATCTTCATATTGTCTCTGACTGTTAAGATAACAAAAATATTCCACAATAAATCTTTTTTTTTTTTCGTTTTTTTTATTGTTCCTACTTACATTGGTACTGAAACATTTCTGAAGTGATACAGCTCATGTCCTCATCCTTTCATGAGACCATATTTTCATGATTCTCAGCCTGATAAAGCAACTCGTAAATTGTTGTTCAACTTCATATTTTCTCCGAAAGAAAGATATTCCTTTATGTTTTTTTTTTTATTCGGATCTTGAAAAGACATTCATATCCACATTGATATTAGAAAATTACTTCATTGTAATGACTACCAACGGCATCTTTTATACAGACACTGAAGTTTTTATAAATATTTTCTAGCCGGCAAAAAAGCAACCTGTCAATATTTGTTGTTCTAGTCGTCAAAAGATGTCGCAACAACGATATTAGTTGAAGAAGTGAAACCTAGATGTCGCCGTAAGAAGCCGGTTTTAAATTAGTAGCAATTTACTTTCACTACTGTCCAAAAGAGGACGCTGTGGATAATGAAAATCCGATTACATTTTTGAATTTTCAGGGAAGAGATTGAATCACTTATATTTTATATGGCAAAGCCGATTACAGTTCTGGAATCTACATGAGCAAATGTTTGTGTAAAACAGACTTTAATCAGCTAACGCAAATATTTCAAGTTATTCTCAGCAAACATAAAATTGTTGAATATTTCCATACAGTTTTTGAGATCAATTATTGAAACACAAAATAATCGTATTATTGATAATTCAAGTAGATTCTAAAAAACTTGTTTATCGCCATCTACTATCAGGAAGACAAAGCCATGTCGCGAACCTTATAATAGAAACCTGTACAAGGAATCTAATGAAGTGGTTCTAACCCTAAAAATTACAGGAAACTAGAACAGAAATATGTCGTGTTATTCTAGCAAGCAAGAGATGTCGCTTAAACATTCCCATAAAATTTTTGTGTACATTTTTTGCAGGGAATAGATTGTCCTGCTAGTTATCATTACTTCATCAGAACGATTTTTTCAATAATTTTCAAGAGCCAATTATGAAATTCAATCATGAAAATGATTTGGCATCTGTAGAAATAAAAGTCTGAGAACTTTTCGCAAAAATATATTCAAGGAAAATCAAGAATCATTCTAATCGAACATTTGAAAAAAATGTATCTGTACATGATATAAACTTTAATAATATACAATGAAGTCAAGTTTGTTTACTGAAAATATAACAGATCAAACATATGGCTAAAATAATAAGTAAACTCTTATATAAAAAAATTATAAAGATACGTTAAACACTGTATATATCTTAAAATTATTAATAAAGGTAAATAATTCCATACTGTATAGAGTAAATTTGTAAAATTAGGTCTCATCATTATAAAGAAGTTCTTCGAATAATTTATGGAGATTAAAATACATTTTTTTAATATAAATTCGTCATTTGAACTGACTTGAAAAATGTTTTATTGAAATCTGATTCTGTTAAAAGTGAAACCTAGAGAAAAAAAAAAAGAAAAAATTCTGCGAAATGTTTTACAAAATCTGAAAAATTCATGTTTTAAAGGACATGAAAATTGAATAATGAAGAAAAGAGAAATGAAACTTTCTATGTTTTTTTACCACTTTGAATCAATTTTTTGAATCAGTGTCACTGTTTTTCGAGTTTGAAAGCCGTGGATTATTGGAATTTTTTCCTGAGGTTTCGCTGACTAACGCATACCGTGCACTTGTGAAAAGGTATATATCGGAACCACCAAACGATCCATGGGAACAAGACTGAAAGAGCATAAAAGGAACTGCAGACTAGGCCAAGCCAGCTGTTCACATAATTTTGTTTGAAAACGCAGAACTAATTGCCCCCAAGCAGGGATACTGGTACGGGAGGCAATAGAGATCCACAAACACATGGAGAATTTCATCAGAAAAGAAGAAGCAGTGAACCTCAACCGAATATGGAACCACATTTCAAGGAATTCGAGAATAACGAACAGAATGACAACAGGTAGCAAGATTGTTAATGTTCCACCTAAAAGGTAGTCATTGGACAGCAAGCCATGATGGTTAAACCTCTGAAGAAGCTAGCCGCTCGCGGCAGCGAAACGTCAAGAAGAAATTCCAAAAATCCTCGGCTTTCAAACTCGAAAAACAGTGGCATTTGTCAAAATGTGATTCGTAGCCTTCATAAAATCTCCAAAAATTACTCAAAACATATCCAACAGTACAAAACTTTCAAATATAATAACAAACTTCAACAAAACAGTTCTTCTCGTAATTTCAATAGACCCAGTGTCTCCCATCAACCATTTCCATAAAAATTAACCACAAAAATCCAGACAATGGTCCATAAAACCCTCCAATCGTTCAACAGTGACAAAAACTAATTTGTTGATTTACTAACTATAATACCTAGCAATCTAACTGTACAACAATATAAATAAATTATCTTACATTCTTTCTCTCTAATTTATTAGAGGTACATAACATATCGAAGATACTGTCTACCTTCGAATCGTTTTTAATATCAACACGTCTATAAAATAAATACATTTGGCTTATTTCACACAAAGTCATTGCCACCTTCAAATTGGTTCGTTCAAGAAACAAACTAAAATCTACATTGCTGGAAAAGAACAATGGTTACTCTCCCAAACAATCCCTTTCCTGGTCAATCGAAGGATACCATATTTTTGTACGAGGTGAGGTCGATTCAGCCAAAGGATAAATCATTATCAAGTGCAACCGATCTTCAGAGAATCAAAATACAAATTTAGAGGGCCGCAAGGATCCGTCACAGGGCCCATTGTGTGAACATTCCATGCAAGAGGTTCGTTCAAAACTTACAACTGAACCATGTTTCGGAACCGTTCAAGAAATTTCATAGGTACCATAATTTTGTTACTGGTATGACAAAAATAAATGAGGATTCCTGAAAAAACGTTCAAAAGTACCGCAATAAATTGAACTTGCTTTTAACACTGTTTCGCTTCGCAACAGCTCGTTTACAAAAATAAACTGAATGCTTGGGAAAGGTTGAACTGATCCCATTCAAAAACTATTTATATGCTCTTTCATTCTTCCGGAAATAGTTTACCCAATATGACCAATGTATAAAAATATATATTCCTAATATGTTCGACTTTGAAGTTATGTATTTGTGTTTGAATCGATTTGCCTAACTTACTTTTTGTTTGTAAGCTGTTCAAAGGTTTTTATTCTTGGAAAAAGCAGTCATAATTTTTAATGTTCCACAACTTGTTTCAACCAACTTCAAAAAATGAGGATGTGCCTTCTTTGACAAGCATGAAGATATTGCTAGTTTCTTCGACTCATGAAACACAAAATATTCAACAATGAATTGATTATATGAAACAAGAGCAAAACTTTAGTGTCAATTGAATCAGGAAGATTGACGTGTGTTCCCAACAAAACTTTTACATTGGTCAAACGGATAGGACTTTTCCCAAAAGAATCAATAAACATACACGAGTGTTTTAAATGGGAAGAACATTTCTATAAGGCAAACATTGAAATGTTTTCCCAAGTAAAGTAATTTCGGGAGATATTCAAATAACACTTGATTGCGAGGCATTCAGTAAACAGTTTTACAAAAACGCAACATGTGTTTCGCTATACAATAGCATCCTCGGGTCAACATCCGAAAAATATTTGTGCTCCAATGGAAATCCTTATCTGATATGATCAACTGACTAAAAGAGTCTCTGTAAGTTATATAACGTCGGAAACAGAAGTACCTTTTTAGCACCTCAAGCAGTGAATACTACCAGAGTTTTTTCCCAACACCAAATCGTTATTTTAGGTGCCAAACAGTGCATCATAAGTACCTCAAGCAGTGTTTTGAACCAAACCAGTCCCCATCAGACATAAATATTGTAGGCAAACCTGAAAAATACAGAGATCCCTGGAAAAAAACTACAGAGCGAACCATACCCCTTAGCCTCATCGACCTCGAACCGTACCTACCCCAAACAGCCCCAGAGCACAAACACAGCTCCCTCGATAGGGCTCTAATCGTCGTCAGGTTCCGGCTTAACAAGCGGCTGACTCGGATGGTACTTGCCGTGGTGGTGGGTGAGCTGCGACTGCCTGATGAAGCCCTTCTGGCAGACCCAGCACTTGAAGGGCTTGTCAAGCGAATGGGTTAACAAGTGGCGGGCCAAGACGTCCACCCTGCCGAAGCCCTTGTTGCAGATCTCGCACTGGAACGGCTTGATGTGGAGGTGAGTGAGAAGGTGCTTGCTGAGGTTGTGGGCCTGCTGGAAGCCCTTGTTGCAGATGTTGCAGACGGAGGGTTTCTCGCCGGTGTGGACCCGCATGTGTCGGTCGACGTCGCAGAGTTTGCCGAACTCCATGGCGCAGATGTCGCACCGGAACTTCTTCTCGAGCGGTTTGAGCTTGCGCAAGACGTGGACGGGCGCGTGAGCGTCGTAGGCTTTCTTCGAGAAGAAGCCGAGGTTGCATTTGATGCACGTGTACGGGTGCTTGCCTGGAAAACAAAGGGTTCATTAATCTGGAGAATACAAGAATTTTATTTTTTGATTATGTACAGGGCGTCTCATGAGGCATGCTCCAAACTGAAGGGGGTGGTAGAGGAGGTCGTTTCTGATAAAACTTCATGGTCTTCAGGAAATTTGGGATTTTTTTTTCAATTTCTTAACCCAAAAAGAGTACTACGATATTGAACACTTCTTATCTGATAAATCTGCTTCTTCTACTCCGGAACTGTAGTGGGATTTTCACTAAACAGTTTTACAAAAACGCAACACGTGTTTCGCTATACAATTGTTTCGTCAGGAGTGTCTATACTAACTAAACTAAAATCTACATATCCAATGCTTTATATAAATTTTTACAATTCAAAGTACTTGAGTTTTAACTACCCAATTAATATTAAAAATGTGTACCTGAATTTCAGAATGAATCAATTGAAAAAAAAAACAGTAACAGGAAGTTATTTAATACTATTTGATCGTTCAGTAAATCACAATTCACAAACTATTGAATATTTCACTTCAAGAAAGCAATTTTCAAAGAGATCTGATTTTCATAAAACATATCGCTGTCAACAACAAAAATATTTTATTTATATTACTATTGCTTCCCCAAAATATGATTCCATATCTAGCTACAGACTCAAAATTGGAGAAATATAAAATTTTTACCAATTCTTTGTTGAGATATTTGTGAACCACCCTTAGTCCATACGAAATGTTGCTCAATTTGTTAGCTGTATAATCAATTTGTTTGTTCCATTTCAAGAATTCATCAATATGAAGTTGTTGTTCTCTCTCGTAAGTATCCGTGTTGGTTATTGCTAATTATATTACATTTATATAGAAAATTTGTAATGTTATTACACATAGCTAGCTCAAATAATTTGGCAAAACTTGGTAGAATATTTATAGGTCGATGGTTTTCCATAAGTTCAGAATTTCCCTTTTTATAAATAGGTTTCACTAGGGATAGTTTCAGTCTGGAAGGAAAGACGCCAAATTTCATGATATATATATATTTATGATATATGATATAATTTCACTTATGCTTAGTATACTCAATTCCTTCAAAAAAATTGTAGAAACAAGCTCTGAACCAAGTATATCCAGTTAAAAATGATTATACTGAACATTATGTTACTCTAATTTACTTTGGTGATCATACTAATATCGCTCGCTTTTTTAAAAAAACAAAGATTTGTATTTAACTTACACAGCAAATAATAATTAGGGTAAATTCATTGAAAACACTGAAGATCAAACTTAAGTATCGGATAGATCCGGAGTATACAAGTTGACTTGAGGTTCTTGTTTAAAATTTTCTATTGGACAAACTAGAAGAACTTTTTCCAAAAGAATGAAAGAACATAGAAATATTTTTTTGAATGGGAAGACCAATTCAACATTTGAGAATCATCTTTTGACAGAAAAGCACGAGTTCAATCACGATGACGTATTGCATTTGGAAGAGAAAAATTCAAAACTCACCCTTTTGGAATGTTTAGAAATCAATAGACGTAAAAATTCTGGATTTTTGCTCAAATTGCTCAAATATAGTTGAATTTTTTCCCTTTATTGAATTAAATTTGGGAGGAAATATACAATTTACATAGATATGATATAATATATAATAGTCAAAGCCTAAAATAATTTGTTATTTATGCAACAGCATCATTATTACAATCTTCCTAAAATGTTACATATGTACAGGGTCATCATCCATATATTCTTCGAGAGAACAATAGGATTTATCCAGGAGCAACTTTTTGATTTGATAGTTATACTGTTTTAGAGCCAGATTTTTTATTGTTCTTGGAAGTTTATTTTACAATTTAATGGCCATAAGCCTGGGGCATGATTCAGATACAACTAATATGTGTGTTGGTACTTCCAACTGTACGGAATTTCTAGTATTATAATTGTTACTATAACTGGTTATGAGCGATTTTACATATTTTATATCTCATAAATGTATATACTTGTAACATGCAATATTCTGAGATTTTGGAATATGAGTTTGCAACTTGTCCTTCTAGTAACTTCTGCTATATACTTTATGGTTCTTTTTGAATTTTGAGTATTCTAGAACAATCACTAGATGCTCCCCAAGCTATAATACCATAGGACTTTTACAGTGAAAGTATGCATGGTAGTACATTAAAGAGAGTGACCTATTTACATTCCAGCGTAGTTGTTGAATATAATAAGATGTTAAGGATATCTTTTTACAAATCGTAACAATATGCTTGTTCCATTTGAGATTTTCTGTTGTCTTCAAACCCAAAAATTTTGTCTCCTCTTGTTGTTGAATTAATTGACTAGTAAACTGGGATCTGGAGCGTTCTTGAATGAGTGGACCTAATATAGAACCCTGAGGAACCACCAGGGGACCATTTTTAGATTCTAATTTATTCCTGCTAACCTCTACAGATTTCAAAATTGTGAAATTATAGCACAGGTAAATATTGTTATTCATTATTCTCCAGTCTTATGAGTTGTTCCTAGATAGGTAAATAGTTGAGGTAATGAAATTATCATGTAGAAATTTGGTAGGTAGGTAGTAATATTCATAATGATTGAGTGAAAGTGTCTCAAAAATACCAATAATTTGAATTGAGGCTGTGAATCATTTGGAATTAATTATAATTTTCAAAGAAAATTTGAAGGAATAATTTTTTCTGACAATTTTTTAGACTCTCCTATAAACCACATTCATTCAACAATTGTGCATTAAAGTATGAACACTCAATGCTATGGTTATTCTAAAACAAATCTGTGTTTCAACACAGAATAGTTTTCTTTCATGTTACCTTAACGTTGTCACGTTTCTAGCACTTCTAGATTAATTTTCCACATCCGTAGCGATCCACAATGAAACCATCAAAGCAACCATATCAAACAACTAAGACATCAGAAGCAAACAGGGCCACACCGCCTGATACCTCTATCTTCGAGTAAGGACTCAATTTTATTTCCTTCCATAACCTCTTCTCTTGAGTAAAGGAATACTCACCCCGTCTAGCTACCTTGATTTTAATTTCTGGATACTCGGGAATACAAATAACGTCAAACTTTCCGTCTTCGCTCTTCACAGTTACAGCTTCAAACTTCATTTTCGCCTTAGCCGAAGAATCCTCTTCACGACACCTCGCTACCGGTTTAATTTTTCTCCTGGACGATTTGAGCCTTTTCGATTTCATCCGGATAGCCGTGGTTTTCACAGCCGTCTTTGTTGACATTTTCGCATCGGTCGGTTCCTCCTTCGTCGTCGTTTTCAAGGCATCTTGACAGCGTCTCCTTCTCGTAACCGGAGACATGGTTAAACGCCTCAGAGATTGTGCGTATTTCAAGTTGATAACTGGAGCGACGGTCGACGAAATTCGATAATAGCCATAACAAAACACTTGTTGCCGACGGACTTGACGCTTGGACAACGTCAAACAAAGATGGCGGTCTTTGTTTTTGTTTTGACAACTCGCAGGGTTGCCACTCTCGAATAAATCATTCTGGGTATTTCGAATTTTAAAATTGATACTGAATGATGCGTTTTTTATTTTGCAACAGTTGATGTAGTGTCCGATGAAAAGTCTGCACCACACGAAAAACTTCTTTGTTCATCTATTCTTTTCATGAAAAAAAAGGATACTTCGTAAAAGTTGGTGTATGGACTCAAAATGCCATAATTAAATGTCACATTTGTTACTCTATACGAGGGACGTAAAATTATTTTTCGAGAGTAAAATATCCTGATTTATCTGTCATCACACTGATGTTTCTCTTTATCAGTGTTATTATAATCGTAACCGCTTTTTTTCAAATCAAAATTCGTAAATTGTTGGAACTGCACCCATTTTGATTGTTTGAGGTAGTGTAAGAGTGATATAGGAAATATACACTAAAAAAATAGTTTTGAACTCAAAATTTTTATGTGAAATATCTGAAAATTTATCAAGTTCTTAAATTCATAATTACCTGTCAAAATTATTGTTGCTGTTTAATCGGTTAAGGTTTAACAGATCTAGTACATTTAATTGTTGTAAAACTCTTGTTTCTATCAACATAAAGTAGAAACTTTCATTAGTATGCTTCACAAAATAAGTAATTTTCAGAAAGAACTGAATTTTATAGTAACCGTCAACAACGGTTACAAAAATATTAGATGCTCAAAATGAGAACCTTGAAATTAAGTCTTTCCGTCATCACGTGCCGCATACGTTCAAAAATTTCTGGGGTGTTGCAAATAACATTAGAAATATGCATAACTCTATTTATCCACTTACTTTCATCAACAACTGGTGTCTAATAAATAATAATCAAGAGGGTTCAAGTCTGGAGATCTAGGTGGCCATGAAATAATCAAGAGGGTTCAAGTCTGGAGATCTAGGTGGCCATGAAATAATCCAGTGGGGTACAAGTCTATATTATTTAGAAAAATGACCATTGATATTTTTCGATTCCGGAGAGGGAGCCTGAAAATCAGCTACCAAGCCCAAAGCAGCAGGCGCGCAAAAGAAGGCTACAAATAAGGCAGCAGGCGCGCGAATTAATAAAAAAAATCCTTTTATCTAATGAAGAAATACATGTAAAGTTAGCTCGAATTATATCAAGGAGATTACATACAGCGCCATCTGCCCGCGAACAGATCAACCAATAATGTCGATAATTCTGTCAAATACAGTTCCCGAGCTATTGAGTTACAAGCAAACAAACATACATACATACAGGTGAAGCTAATAAAAGCGTGTAAAAAAATAGTAAAACTTTGACATCCCGTTACTCAGAAACGAAGCAAGTCAGCACATACGTGCATATGAACTTTTAAGATACCGATCCCGTGTAAAACCCGTATCAGGCGGAATATTCGGCTGGTCCTCTGGTTCTACCGGATGCATATGTTGGTCGTGACTATCTATTATTAGCCTTATCTGTATCGTTGACTAGGCCTTCTGCTAGGATCGCGGGATGTTTCTACAAATACAATTCGTGGAACCCACATTATTCTTGCAACCCGCTCTTAAATTAGCACTGACCTTCGCACGAGGGAGATTTCCAGATTTCAAACTTTTTTTCTTCGTTTTTGTTGCCGGTTCCCGTAACTGGCTTTGAAGGTTAAGTGGAAGAACAAAACTGCAGTGCTGGCAATTCTGATCTTTTCAATAACAATACACATTCATTTATTTCCTTGGAACTACGATGGTTTATACAGGGAATTATTTATACAAGAAATATTCCTATTTGAATATTCGGTGTGTAAAAGCCAAATGAAATAAATTCATTATTTCGGTTACCGTACATATTTTTAAAAAATTCTGAAACACGTCAAATTTAAATTATAATTTGACATTCTTCAACGCAAAAATGCCAATCCTACCTTCAACCCCCTGCAAATGACAGGTACAACCCCCAACTTTTCAAATGGGAAGTATAGGTTTGTGATATATCGTTTGAAAATTCTCTTCATTCTCTATTCAAAAATGTTATCGCTTTCAAATTTATTGCAACAACTAAAATAAAATAAATTTAAATCATGTGGTTACCAAAATTCGATAAAACACCCTCAAAAACTAAAATGTAATGCAAAACATAATGAAATGTAGTCTTGGCAACATCCCAATCTCAAATAAAACTGTCGTCTAACATTATTTAACATATCAGGCGTGACCGACCTAATCGCAAGCGTTATTCGTTCTTTTGAGTCATTCAAATCTGAAGGTTAAGTTTTGTACACATTGATCTTTACATATCCCCATAAAAAAATCTAATGATGAAAGATCAGGTGATCGTGCTGGCCATTCAATCGATCCTCGCCTCCACCGATTGGGAAATGTTGTATCGAGGTATTTCCGGACATTAACTTGGTAATGTGGTGTTGCTCCATCCTGCTGAAACTATATCATATCACTATATCATATCCTGTATCAGGATATAAATTCGCTAAACTTGGAATTACATCATTTTGAAATAGTGCCAAGTAATTATCGCCCAAACATTAACCTTTTGAGGGTATTGTGTGTGTTCTTTTCTCATCCAGTGAGGATTTTCCGTTGACCAGTAGTGACAAAGTACACTCATAAGAAAATATAACGTCTTCTTATTGGATGATAAGTATAGAACTTTGAAATGGAATTAAACAAAGATGATTTTTTTGAACTGACATGAAATTTACTTCATTCGAAAGATACTCTTCTGGCATTATGATTTAAATATGACTTCAGGCATGACCGCCACTAATTTTCGATGACTCTTTCCAACATTTGTGGCCGTATATCGGCAATAACGCGACGAATGTTGTCCTCCAAATGGTCAATCATTCCGGGCTTATCGGCGTAGACTACCGACTTCACATATTCCCACAGAAAATAGTCTAGCGGCGTTAAATCGCACGATCTTGGAGGCCAATTCACGAGTTCGACACGTGAAACTATTCGGTTACCAAACGTTTCCTTCAATTATGGCACGAGCTGTGTTACAAGTTGCGCAGTTTCGTTGAAACCACATCTACTGCACATCACGGTTGTTCAATTGATGAACGTAAAAGTCAGTAATCATGGCTCTATAGCGGTTAGCATTGACTAACGTTCTGAACTGCATAGTTTTTAAAGAAGTACGGACCAATGATTCCACCAGCCAATAAAGCACACCAAACAGTCAATTTTTTGGATATACGGTGTCTCAACATACACTTGAGAGTCAGTCTATTCAAGTTGAAATGCCAAACCAAACTAACTTGACAGCTGACAAAATGGCCGCCGGTTAAAAAAGTGCTGCCAACTCAAAGTTCTATACCTCTATAATTGATTTTCAAAACAACACAAAAAATTTGAAAAAAACTGATGAAAGTTTTATTGGAATCAATAGAGCGATCGATATAATTTAATGTTTGAAGATGATTTCATGCAAATGTTGTCCGCGGCTCCGCTTTAGATAGCCCATGCCCAAGGTCCAATTTTGGCACACTCTCTCTAACATATCGACCGGTATTTCACGTATAAATGCTTCAATATTGTCTTCCAGAGCGCCAGTCGTTGCTAGTTTATTCCTGTAGTTGTGAGCCTTAACATGACTCCACAAGAAATGATCCAAAGGCGTTAAGTCACACGTGCCAGCGCCCATTCACCAAATGTTAGACGTTGTGGGAGATCGTGTGGCTTCAATTCTTGCACCAGCTGTATCTTATAAGGTTCTACACCCAAATCCTTTCGCAAAATTTTCCACGTAGCGGAGTAACAGAGACCCAATTGCTGCGAACGGCGGCGAATCGACATTTCACGGTCATCACGAACACTGACGGATACAGCCGCAATATTTTCTTCGGTCCTAACTCTACGTATGCGTGTTGGTGGTTAAATGTCCAATAATGTAAACTGGGTTCGAAATTTAGTCACAAGCTTCCGAATAGCTCCCTCAGTAGGCCGACGAAACTGCCAATAAATTAGAAGAGGTGCACGATGCACTTTCTTCACCGAGCATGAATTTTGATAATAAAAGTCAATAATTTGCAAGCGTTGTTCATTCATGGTTAAAACTGAACAAGTTTGACAATGGCACAAGACACGATTCACGCGTGATCTTACAAAAACAGTGTTGCCAAAAAGATACCAGCAAAAAAAATCACTCATTAGTAATTTCGTCGTATAACTAATTTGGCGAAATTAGATGCACGACTGGCGCATTCACCATATTTTTCACATTGGGACAATTTCAATGTTTTTTTTTCAGTTTCAGCTTCTAATAGCAAAAATCTTTCATATATCTTTTGTTCAATAGAATTTTCGTCTAGAAGGTTACACCAAAAGCGATATAGATTATCAAACCGTCTTCGTGTGGTGGCCAAACCAACACGCTTCCGCCATAAAATCAAATGACTCAACTCGCCGTTTATAATAGCTCCCTGTACCTGAATTCCAGGACCTCAGAAATGTTAGCATGGTAATTTTTTACTAATAATCTTCGAAGGATACTAAGTTACACATGAAGTGTAATACTGACCCAAACTTTATGGCCTACTTAAAACTACGACCCTTTTCATGGGATAAAAATCGAAGTCAAACATTCCAATTTTTTTAAGTGGAACACCCCGTATATTAATAAATTTATGGAATCGCTCTAGTATTTTAATACTTTTTTGTTGATAA